GAGCAATTAAAGGAAAAAAGAAAAAGGAAGAAGTCAAATTATCATTATTTGCAAATGACATGATCCTCTATATCCAAAAGAATCCACCAGAAGACTCTTACAATTAATAATCAAATTAAATGTAGCAGGATAAAAATCTGCACACAAAAATCAGTAACACTCCTATACATTAATAATAAATCTTTTGAGGAAAAAAATTAGGAAAAAAGTACCATTCACAATAGCACAAGAAAATTAAATTCTAACCTAAGAAGGTAAAAGACCTCTGCAACAGAAACTACAGCACTCTGAAACAGAAATCAAAGAGGACACCAGAAAATGTAAAGGTACACCTGTTTCTGGATAGGTAGAATCAATATAGTCAAAATGGCCATATTTCCAAAACTGTTACACAGATTTAAAGCAATCCCAAACAAAATTTCAACAGCAATCTTCACAGAACTAGAGAAAACAGTCCAAAAATCCATATGGAACTAGAAGAGACCCAGAATAGCAAAAACAATCTTGGATAACAAGAGCAAAGCAGGAGGCATCACAATCCCAGATTTGAAATTATATTACAAAGTTATTGTGATAAAAACATAATACTGGAACAAAAACAGACACGAGGATCACCAGATGAGAACAGAGGATGCAGAAATAATCCCAAGTACATTCAACTATTTGATCTTTCACAGGGGGGCCAAAAATATACACTGGAGTAAGAAAGCTCCTTAATAAATGGTGCTGGAGGGCCGAGGATTTAGCTCAGCAGTTTGGTGGCCTGCCTTGCAAGCGCAAGGACCCAAGTTCAATCCCCAGTACCAAAAAAAAACAAAAAACAAAAAAAAAAAAATGGTGCTGGAAAACTTGCTATTCACATGCAAAAGATTGAACCTAGGCACATATCTTTCCCTATGTACTAAATTAAAATAAAAATGGATCAAATATCTCAATATTAAAACAGAAACACTTAACCTGTCAGAAAATAAAATAGGTAAAACTCTTGAAATCAAGGGCATAGGCAAGGACTTTCTGAAAAGAAATCTGGTTACCCAGGAAATAGCTCTAAGAATCAACAAATGAGATCCTATCAAATTAAAAAGCTCCTCAAAACAAAAGAAACAACCAACAGAGTGAAGAGACAACCTACAGAATGAGAAAAAACCTGCCACCTGTATCTCAGACAGAGGATTCCTATCTAGAATATATAAAGAACTCAAAAAATTAGACCCCCCCCAAAATAAAAGACCCAACCAAAAAATGGACAAGTGATATGAACAGATACTTTACAGAAGAAGTAAAAATGGCCAGTAAATACATAAACAAATGTCAACATCTCTGACTATTAGAGAAATACAAATTAACAACACTGACATTCCAATCTTACCCCAGAAAGAATGGCTATCATCAAGAAATCAAATAATAACAAATGTTCCAGAGGCTGAAGGGGAAAAAGAATCATTTGACAATGCACTTGCAAATGTCAACTAGTACAACCACATGGGAATCAGTATAAGATATTCCTCAAAACACTGAAACTAGAAATTGCATTTGACTCAGCTATTCCCCTTTTAGGTATCTTCCCAAGAGTGATAGACACATTACAGTAATACATGCATATCCACCCACGTTTATAGCACAGAAACTAATAATAGCTAAATCTTAGAAGTGGCATATATGTCCATTAACAGATGAATGGATAAAGAAAATATGGTATTTAAACACAATGGAATACTACTCTTCTATAAAGATAAACTTGAGTCATTTATAGAAACAATGATGTACCTCGAGACCATGGTATTAAATGAAATAAATCAGACACACAGGCTTACATATCACATGGTTTCTCTTATATAAGAAATTCAAAGTACTGTACAAATAAAAAGCAAAAAGGATAGATAAGAGGAAATAAGGAGATAGATCTTTCTCAATTGGGAAAAAGGAATCAAGAGGTGGAGAAAGGGGATGAAAAAAGGAATTAAAATATGCTACATACATGTACCAACTCCACCAAAGGAGTGTAAACAAACATTATGTATTGCAAATGTACTGAAAGGGGAGGGGAAGGAGGGAGATCCAAGGATAGAGAGAGGGAGGAGAGAGAGAAAGGAATAGGGATGAAAAAAGGGAATTAAGATGTATTATGTACCTGTCCATAAATTTTTTTTAATGAAACAAAAAAAGAAATACTGAGAAAACAAACCAAATGTGTATCTGAAAACTGGAGTTATCCTACAGTTAATTATGCAAGCAATTAAAATTAAAAAACTAAAACCACAGCATTAATAGTTGTAAAATGTGCACATTCAATCCAGCCAAGCTGGTTCCACCCACTCCTATTAGTAAAACTAAGATGAAACGGGAAACTAAGGAGCTCGGCTGCAGAAGCTTATTTGTTTTTTAAGTTCACCTACTTACTCAAAATCAATTTCTATTTTACACTAACATCTTTTGTTGGATAAAAGGGGAATCAAATGTTCTTAAACAAGAACAAGCTCTGAATGCATAATGGCAGCTTTATTTCTTCTAATGCACATCTAGGATACTCTGTTTTAACACTTTTGACAGGTTCTTCATTAGTCTTTATGTTTAAAGAATACAAATGTTTTTCTAGAGCTGTTAAAGAGATCATGTTAGGGTAAGAGGGTTAGAGAAAAGAAAGATCTGTTTTTTCCAGATGGCTTGTTAAGCAAACGGAGAACACAAATTTCAGTCACTGATCCTTATATGTAGAAGATGTAGTTCATTATAAAAGTAGAAATAAAGTACGGATCAGGGATGTACTCAGTGGTTCCACCTCCTGCCTCGTAAGCGCAAGGTCCCAAGTTCGATCCCCAGTACCCAAAAAAAAAAAGAAAGAAAGAAAGAAAGTAAAGCCTAGTGATAAAAATAAATATTTTAATAAGAAATGTGTTGTTTGCAATAAAGAAATATTATCGGAAAACCTTTCAGACTAAAAATAATACCAGAGTTTGAGATAACTGGAGTAATAAAAAAAAAAAATGAGGCTAAGGAAAATAGAATCCAGAGAATAGATAAAATAGTAAAGGTAACAAAATTAATGTTTATGAAAAACCAGTTTATGCTAGGTGTGGTGGGCACACATCTGTAATTCCAGCATGTGGAAGGCTGAAGCAGGGGGATCACAAGTTTAAGGCCAGGCTGAGGCTGGGAGATCTTCTGTTTGAGGTCATAACAAGATGCTCTCTCAAAAAAAAAAACCAAAAAAACAAAAAGCTGGTTCACGTGCAAAGCAAGGCACTAGATGAACACAGATATAGTCAGTGTTTGTCTTCCATTTTAACTGGCTATATTTAGTTTTGCTTACAGTAGAGCTTGAACTAATTACAAACAAAAAATTAGGAGAAATATTTTTATTAAGTTCAACTGCAATTCTAGTTTAATTTTTAATGTGCAATTTCAGTTCTTACTTAGTAAAGAATATAAATTTGATTCCATGACAACAAATACTACTGTCATGGAAATCTCTAATAAATGTGCCAAGCTGAAGCTAAATATCTAGTAAGGATATGTGTTTTAATGCAGGTTGTCAAAAATAAGCTACAGTACAACAAAAGAACTGGAGAGTCCACATGAATCTAGTCAAATCACAGATCATGATACAGAATTCAGACAAGCATTAGTAACTAACATGTATTAAAAATTTTAGCAGAATTTCTTAACTAGAGTTGAAATTTGAAGACAACTCTACTAAAAAGTTTTAAAATACTTGTTCTGTTTCCAAAACAAATTTTCTTCAAAATAATCCCTATCTATACCAGACATCTAGCATTACTTAAAACAAGTGAACAGCTCTGCAAGTGAACTTGTTTTTCCTCCAAAATATATGGCTTCTCCATTAACATCACTTAATAGAATGTGTCCCTAGGCTTAAAAATTTCAGCATCCTTTGATTGTTTCTTTCATCTCATCAACCTATCCATTTCTAACTACTTAGTCACAAGTCCTAAAATATCTTTGGCACTCATCATAAAGACCTTAATTTAAACATCACCATTAGTATTCATTTGCACCTTAACTACCCTCCCCCCGCCACCAGGTTCAGTTTCTGCCAGTGCATCTTACAGACTCATGCCACACAAAAGCTCTGAAGAACAGGTCATGTCATACCACATCTCAAAACTTGTAAGGGATTCCTGCTGACTACAGAGTAAAAGTCTGTGCTCACTGGCTCCTAAGTCAAAGTCTTTCTCAATATGGTATCAATCTACTTTTCCACCTTCTTCCCATTTTGTTTTCCACTTCACTGTAAAGGTATCATTCCCTACAACCAGAGACAACTTAGACCTGGTCTATAGTTTCTGATTTACTTTAGTATCCATAATTAATACATTCCTTTACTTAAGATAATATTCTTCTTGATCAATTCATCCAATTATTGAGGATGCAGTTTAAATGTTGCCTCCTTCATGATACTCTCATTGTTCCCCACTACAGGTAAACTCCTCCTCTAGGGAACATCCACAGCACCTTGTGAATTTATCAAATAATACTTCACACTTTCTAAAATGGCTCTTCATACAGCAACTTTACCTCTCTTACTAGATTTCTTAAGGGAAAATTCCTTAAGGAAACTACCTGCTGAGCTCATGCAATCACATATATGCATTCATATATGTGCTAAAGGTTTAAATTAATGAGTATAGGGTGGGAGGGGACACGTTAAATAATTAATTAGCATACATATTATATTTATAAAGAGGTATAAAAGTCAGTATAATGACAACATATCTAGTAGGAAATATGTTAATTTGGAGCTAGACTATGATCTAAATTTAAAGAACCAATAGTAAAAAGTAATAGGGTTCTCAAATTAGATTACTAAATATTAATGCCAAAGGGAAAAAAAATTGAATATACACGCTCTTGTAACACAAAACTCAAATACCAATACATACTATTTGTTCTACATACATATTAGCAACTTCATTTTCTAAATGAAAAAAGTTGAGAGTTGTTGATAGTATATTGAAATTAAAAAAGGAATTGTCCCTTACTTCTACTGAGCTTTGGAAATCTTTTTTTCAGTTTCTTCTTTAATGGATTAAGAGCAGGCATTATTTCTGGAACAGCTACATAAAAGTCTGCTTGAATTTCATCATCTAAAATCTGAAAATCAAGAAAAAAAGAAGAAAATCTTACTATTTCATGAAAAGCCTTATTTTTCTGAAAAATGCATAGTTTCCCTTACAATTCAGAAAAGAGACATTAAGCAAAATGCTTTTCTTCAAACAGAAGGATCACATGAATATATTTACCAATTATGAAAACCATCAGAAACAAAAGACGCTCTTTTATTTTCTTTTTAAAATAGCCACACTTGGGCTGGGGATTTAGTTCAGTGGTGCCAACCACCTGCCTCTCAAGCACAAGGTCCAAAGTTTGATCCCCAGTACCAAAAATTAATAAATAAATAAATAAATAAATAAATAAATAATAAAATAGCCATGCTCATTACTGAAAAACACATTTCAAGATATGAATTCTTCAGCAAGGTTATGTTAAGCAAAAATGTGTTATAAACTAGAACACAGCCCTGGTGTGTACACAAGCCATGTAATCTCACAAAGCTGAATTCACAGATGTTAAAACTGAAGAAACAAGCTGAAAAATTTGCAATAGATTATATATAAAATTAATAACCATTGGCTGTTAAACTATCAGTCACTAGATTTGTAAATTTAGAATGGAAGAGAACTGATTCTATAATTATTTTCACAAGAAATGACTACTTTCCCACCAATAATTGAAAAGGGAGATGGTCAAAGACAAGTTCTCTTTTATTTTACTAACCATACTCTTATTCCATTCTCAGAGAAAAATATAATCAGTTTTTTAAAGAATTATTAATTCAGGCAAATACCAAATAAATTATCATACTCCTCACTATATTCCATCTGAAAGTTTAGTTGATATAAAATGAAATAATTTTTTAGAACAATACTGCCTAACAAGTATTTCATCAATGATTTTTTTTTTCATGAAAAATCTTACCAAAATATGTCACTCAAAGCCTTGGTTTAGAGTTGCACAATGAATCTTAAAATTTTGAACTCTAGTAGAATGAAGCAATGATTCTGAAATTTTACCCTTCTAAATTTTCCTTTGGTTTTTGGTAATACTGAGGATTGAAGCTAGGAACTTCACATGGACCTACTTTCTTTAAAGTCCCCTCCTTTCTTTAAAATTTATTCATTCACTCATTTTATGACTGGGTCTTGCTAAGTCATTAAATTGCCCAGGTGGAGCTTGAACTTGCAGACCTCCTGCTTCAGCTCCCCAGTATGCTGGGATTACAGACATGCACCTGCACACCCAGCTCTGTTATTTCCTCTTACAGATTCTTAAATAACATACTGTGTTCTCCCTTAACAATTTACATTAAATGGGCACTTCTCATATGCCATGAATTCTGCTCAATATTTTACATCATTTAGTTCACCCAGTCTGCTCAACAACCCTACCAGACAGGTCCTAACAATGACCACACATTCTAGATAGGGACTAAGGTGAAGACAGGTGACCTGTACACTCCTGTGAAGCACAGCCAGAACACAAACACAGGCAGTGTGGTTCTAGAAATATGAATGCAAAGGCAATCTTGAATTATAGGTGAGATTTCTAATCAAAGACCTTCTGAAACTAATTCTATGATATGTTCTTTACAATTAAATGAAATTTTAAATTGTGTTTGAAAGTATTGCTATAATTAACCTTAAGATAACACCTTGGAATAATACAAATCTATGTATGAAAATCATAATCCAGGAAACAAGTAAAAATGTGAAATTACTTTTACATCACTCAAAGCTAAGCATATCTGTGATATTTCAAAATACAATGAATAAATAAGGTCTCGCCTAAGAACTGAAAGGTTACTAACTTTATCCTACATTACGTTTTAGAAGAGCTAAGTAAAACAAGAGACTAATTTAGAAATATAAGATTAGGAGCTGGGGGTGTTGCTCAGTGGCGTAGTGCTTGCCTAACGTGTACAAGGCGCCCTTGATCCCCAGCACAATCATTTCAGAGAAGGGAAGAAGAAGGAGAAGGAATGGGAAGGTGGGAAACGAGAGGGAGAAGGGGGAAGTGAAAAGGAAAAGAAAGGGAAGGGAGGTGAAGGGGAAGCAAGAAAGCAAGCAGGGAGGGAGGGAGGGAAGAAGGGATAAAAAGATGGAAAGCCATGAATAAATTTAATAAGAATAGTTCTCTGACTCTAGAGACCGAGCTCTACTCTCAAATTCTCAAGGAATTGTGGCATAATTATTTTTTAATAATTAAAACATTTAAGTAATTGCTTAAAAATTAAAATTAATAACACGCAAGAAAAAAATTGGGTTGTGTGCTTTGATTTGGCCTAGAAGTTGTGTTAAAATATAATCTCTTTTTGCTATCTACTAATTCTGCTTCCAAAACTCATTTTGGAGAGTCTCCCTAAAAATTTACAATATCCAGAAAACTTAAGAGTATTACTGGCATTGGAAAAATGAACTACAAGCAGCTGGGCAAGGTGGTGCACACCTGTAATCCCAGCATTTGGGAGGCTGAGGCAGGAGGATTACTGCAAAGTTTGAGGCCAGCTTGGGCTACATGGTGAGTCCAAGGTCAGTCCAGAATAGACAGCAAGACACTGTTTGAAAAACAAAACAAAACAAGACAAACTACAAGCACTGCTGGCTATCACAAAGGACAGACTCAGTTAAAACTTCCCTGAAAGAAAATCTGGATACGGCACAAAGGAGTAAATTTTTAAGTGACCGTTTTCTACTCCCCTCCCCCATCCATAATCAAAATGATTATATTTAGAAGAGGCGCTTTTACAGAATGTCAAGAAAAGCCTTTTATATTTTCAGAAATGACTACGTGCCTCTTCTTTCCACCTCTTAGAGGAAAAAATACTGTTCTTTCCCAAAGGGCTCCACAGGCTCTTTGTGATTTTCTAAAGGCAGGGTATACAGTCATTTGTCAGCTACCATGCTGAGTCTGTGCCACTCTAAACTGACTGGGGAGTAAAAGTTAAGAGAAACCAAAAGCACTATATTATAGAGGTTAGATATTATGTTTTGTGAACTACCAAGTGAATCACGCTTTTACTCCAAGGAAGCAAAACAAGTATTTGATTTTTTAAGACATGAACAGATATATCTATGTGTATTACATTTTAGATTTTATTTTAAATCTCACATTCAAAATCTGAGTCATGTTGCCCTTTCCAGTCTACCCACAAAACCCTCAGAAACATTAAGAAAAACAATAAATAACAAAAATTTTAAAAATCACAAGGCAAATCAAATATAATAAATAATAGCAGACTGGTGCCGGCAATTTGGCTCAGTGGTTCTGCTGCCTGCCTTGCAAGCACAAGGGCCTGAGTTTGATCCCCGGCACCACTAAATAAATAAATAGATAGCAGACTGTTTGGACAGCTTTTTCTTACCTTAATTTAGAAACAAAAAGAAGTATAAGAAAATTTCCCCATTCTCTAAACTACTAACCATTTTTCAAAAGACTATTCACTCTGTTTAGTACATCAGTGGATCACAGCAAAAATCACAGAACAATCACTATAATTAATGAACATGAAAACACCACCATACCTTCTGAATCACATTCACTCCTCCTGCAAATGCAGCTCCTTGCCTTTCTGCTATTTCAATCTCTGATGCATTCTACCAAAACATTGTTTAAATATCAGTATTTAATTTTAAAGAAACTCAGTACATTTTTAAGTATTTTGTCAGATACACTATCACAGTTCAACATAAAATGTTTATTTATAATTAAAAATGCATACCTTTTCAGTTTAGCATTAGTATTACAGATATACTACTGTAAGAACAAGTTCGGTTTGTAGGTAATTGAGGTGTTTTTTTGACTGACATCTGAAGAAATATGCTAAAATGGGATATTAGGAACCTACCAAGTGTTAGACCTCCAAGTTTATCAATATATTACCTTCCAAAAGTAAAAGATTAAAAAATATTGGGTCTTCTTACTGCAAATAAACCAATTCATAAAATCAATATGAAGAGAAAAAGTTTTAAGAAATCAATGAACCAGAATTTAGCCAGCATCTGAAAAATTCCAAAAGATAAATAAACACTAGTTTAGCCCTTTCTCCAACTACTGCCACACCCTCAGGTAAGTCATCTACTTCAAACGTCAAAAAGGGAAAATAAGACTTAAGTGATTACTAAACTTTTCTCTAAGCAGCAGGGTGTCATGTGCACACCTGTAACCCCAGCAATCTGGGAAGCTGGGACAGGAAGATCACAAGTCTGAGTCCAACCTGAGCAACTTAGTGACTTAATTACACACTGACACAAAATTTTTAAAAATATTTTAAAGGGCTGGGAATGGAGCTCAATCCAGTACTACAAAATAATATTATTATAACAACTCTAATTCACTTATTATAATCATCAACATGGCTCTCTAGAAAAATTAATACAGGTAATTGACAAAAGTTACTCACCTCTGTTAACACAGCAACTTTATTGACTTCTGAAGAAAACGAATGTGGAAAACTAATAACACTGGCAAATGGTTCCACTCTTTTCTAAACACAAGAGGGGAGAAGTAACTATAAAAAGATCATCTTTTCTATTATCTCTCACATTCCATAAAAACAAAGCTGACAAGTTTTTGTTTTTTAATTCTGTATATGTCCTCCAATTAATCCAGAACTATTCATTGATTAAGCTAAGGAGATTATACGTCTTTTTCAAGAAACCCTCATGAAAATGTAAATCTCTCTTCCCAGCTCCATACTCTCATGTCACTTGGCATCTATCACTCATCAGTCTCTCAAATACTCAAATACTAACAGATATGCCTGCATTATCTGTACCTCACCAGCACCTAGTACAATGTTTTTCATTTCATTTTTGTCAACAGATGTTTGATACCTTGAATTAGTTGTATTTTTAAAAGCATGCAATTTTCTGACATCAAGGAGAACATGAATATAACTGTATATACTAAACAGACGATCCACCTGATCTGCTCAGTTGGTCATTCCTAATTGCCAGCAATGCTCTACACCAGTGATGGTGAACCTCGCCACATGCCTCACTAGCGCAAGGCCCTGAGTTTGATCCCTGGTACTGCAAAACCCACTTATTTATTGCAAAGTGTCAACATTTCAATAAAACCTGAATGCTGAGGTTTGTATTTAGAAAAAACAAGCCAGGCATGATGGTACATGCCTGTAATCCCGAGGCAGGAGGATTGATGTAAATTCAAGGCCAGCCTGGACTACACAGAGAGGCCCTGTCTAAAAACAAAAAAACAAAACAAAACAAAAAAACCTCATACATTAACATCTTTTGTCTTAAAAGAAAAACAAATAACACCCATGCCATAGGTTCCCCACCACTGCTGTAAACAATTAGGTAGCATAAACCCTAACCCATGATAGAATACCTTCTGAGTAGATCTATTTTGAAGACACTTTGAGGTCTATTTGGGAAGTCAACTGAAAATCCAAAATAAACAACAGCAGCATTTCAGGCAACTAGAAACTATAGGGCTGGAAAAACTAGTGGGCTCACACACTAGGAAAACAGAGCAGGCTCAAATAAACAACTTAACGATGAAACTTAGACTCCTAGAAAAACAAGAGCAAGAAAAACCCAAAGCTCGAACAAGAGAAGAAATTATAAAGATCCGAGCAGAAATCAATGCAATTGAAATTAAGAAAACGATACAAAAAATAAATGAAACAAAGAGCTGGTTTTTTGAAAGAATAAATAAAATTGACAAACCCTTAGCTAATCTTATCAAAAAAAGGAAAGAAAAGGCTCAGATCCATGCAATTAGGAATGAAAAAGGCGAAGTCACAACAGATCCGAAAGAAATCCAGAGGATCATGAACACCTACTTTGAGAACCTGTACTCTAATAAAATGGAAAACACAGAAGAAATGAACAGATTTCTAGATACTTATGAATTACCAAAGTTGAACGAAGAAGATAAAAACATTTTAAACACCCCAATCACAATCAGTGAAATTGAAAATGTAATTAAAAACTTACCAACAAAGAAAAGCCCAGGCCCTGATGGATTCACTGCTGAATTTTACAAGACATTTAGAGAAGAACTACTACCATTACTCTTCAAACTTTTCAATGAAATTGAAAGAGAAGCTATACTTCCAAATTCATTCCTGGAAGCAAGTATCACTCTGATTCCCAAACCAGAGAAAGATACAACCAAAAAGGAGAACTACAGACCAATCTCCTTAATGAATATAGATGCAAAAATCCTTAATAAGATACTAGCAAACAGAATACAGAGGATTATTAAGAAGATCATCCATCATGACCAAGTCGGATTTATTCCAGAGATGCAAGGGTGGTTCAACATACGAAAGTCAGTGAATGTAATACATTATATTAACAAAGTCAAGGACAAAAACCATATGATCCTCTCAATAGATGCAGAAAAAGCATTTGATAAAATTCAACACCCATTCATGATAAAAACCCTGCAAAAAATTGGAATAGATGGTCTATACCTCAATTTAATAAAGGCTATTTATGAAAAACCATCAGCCAACATCATATTGAATGGCCAAAAACTGAAAACCTTCATGTTAAAATCAGGAACAAGACAAGGATGCCCACTATCGCCACTTCTCTTCAATATAGTTCTGGAAACATTAGCCACAGCAATTAGACAAGAGAAAGAAATTAAAGCAATAAAGATAGGAAAGGAAGAAGTTAAACTATCATTATTTGCTGATGATATGATACTCTACATTGAAGATCCAAAAAACTCCACCAAAAAACTTCTAGACTTAATTGACAGATTCAGTAAAGTATCTGGATACAAGGTGAATACCCAAAAATCAATAGCCTTTCTATACACAAATAACAGACAGACAGAAAGAGAAATAAGGGAAAAAATTCCTTTTACAATAGCATCCAAAAAAATGAAGTATCTAGGAATCAATCTAACAAAAGAAACAAAAGATCTCTACACTGAAAACTACAGCACTCTGAAAAAAGAAATCGAAGAGGATATAAAAAAATGGAAAGATATCCCCTGCTCCTGGGTAGGAAGAATCAACATAGTGAAAATGGCCATACTACCGAAACTGCTATATACATTCAATGCAATGCCAATTGAAATTCCAACACTATATTTCACAGAACTAGAAAAAAGAATCCAAAAATTCATTTGGAACCACAAGAGACCTAGAATAGCAAAAGCCATTATAGGCAACAGTCACATGGCACCAGGTGTAACAATTCCCAATTTGAAACTATACTACAAAGCCACTGTGATAAAATCAGCATGGTACTGGCAAAGAAATAGGCCTGAGGATCAATGGAACAGACTGGAAGACACAAAAACAAATGCAGATGTACTCAGCTACCTCATCTTCGACAAAGGAGCTCACCATCCTCAGTGGAGGAAAGATAGCCTCTTTAATAAATGGTGTTGGAAAAACTGGATATCAACCTGTCACAGATTAAAATTAGACCCTTATCTTTCGCCATGCACTAAATTAAAATCCAAATGGATTAAAGATCTAAATATTAAAACAGAAACATTAAACTTGCTGGAAAGTAAGTTAGGCAGAACTCTGGAAGACATTGGTATAGGAAAAGACTTTATGAACAAATCCTCAGTAGCACGGGAACTAGCAGAAAGAATCAACAACTGGGATCTCATCTTACTAAAAAGCTTCTGTACTTCAAAAGAAACCATTAGCAGAACTAAGAGACAATCTACAATGTGGGAAAAAATTTTTACCAGCTGTACCTCAGACAAAGGACTATTATCAAGGATATATAAAGAACTCAAAACAATCAGTCCCCCCAAATATAAAGACCCGATCCAAAAATGGGCATCCGAAATGAACAGACATTTCTCATACAAAGAAGTGAAAGCAGCAAGAAAATATATGAAAAAATGTTCCACATCACTGGTCATTCGAGAGATGCAGATGAAAACAACACTGAGATTCCACCTCACCCCACAAAGAATGGCTGCTATCAAGAAATCACACAATAACAAATGTTGGCGGGGTTGTGGGGAGAAAGGAACCCTCCTCCATTGTTGGTGGGAGTGCAGACTAGTGCAACCACTATGGAAATCAATATGGAGATACCTCAAAGAGCTTGGACTGGAGGTTCCATTTGACCCAGCCATCCCTCTGTTGGGTATCTTTCCAAGAGAACTAAAAGAATCATATCACAGAGAAGTATGTGCACCCATGTTTATAGCGGCACAGTTTGTAATAGCTAAATCTTGGAAACAACCTATTTGCCCATCCGTTGGAAACTGGATAAAGAAGTTGTGGTTTTTCTATAAAATGGAATATTACTCAGCCATAAAGAGCGAGAGAATAGATTCATTCATAGGAAAATGGATACATATTGAAGATATACTCCTAAGTGAAATAAATAAGTCCCACATGTGTAAATACCAAATAGTTTCCCTGGTGTGAATATTCTGCAACAATGCATAAGATTCTAATAAGATTACTGACATTTAGAAATGGGAGGAAAGGAGCTAAAGGTGTAGGGAAGGTGTGATACGTAGGGGAAGAACAAAAAGGGAAAAGAAAAAAATGTGAGAGAATGAAAAGATGAAAATAAAGTGTTTGTAGATGGGGAGGGGAGGAGGGGGTGAAGGGAGGGCAGAGGTAAGGGGAAAAAATGAGAATCAAGACTTGCCATGTAAAGGTACATGATCCCAACAATGAATGTAACTGTACTGTATCCCTAAAATGTACCAATAAACTCAATAAAATTAAATAAAAAAAAAAAAAAAAACTAGTGGGCTCAGTCATTTTGGCTCAATTACCTAGGTAACCATGAGGCTCAGATCTCCAGGGGAGAATTCATATTGAAACCAAGTTGTAGGCCCTCCACAGTGTTGGTGTGGCCTGAAGATTTGGCAGAAAGAGAAAAATAATTTTTCTTCTAATAAAACTGATTTAAAAACTATGCTTTTTAGAAAAATTTTGAGTAGAGAACTTCTTGAGGCTTTCTCTTCAGACACAAGAAGGCATAAATTCCTAATTTATATCAGCCATACAACTTAGTTTTACTGGCTAGAATTCTGCCATTAACATGTCAGAACTGGTTTCAGTAAACCATTCTACGCTAAGCAATCATGATAACAGCATCCCCTGGGGAATGCTGGCTTATATAAACATTCTATAGAGAAAGAAAGCTTTAGGACAAAAGCAATATCTTTTCAATATCTTGTTTACAAGTGGCTTCATACATGAAAGGAAACTTGTAGTCCTACAATACACTGTTATGAATAGTATTCATGGCTGACTGAAGAAGAGATCATCTTGGACACTACAAAATGTTTAAAATAAAAGAACAAACACTATCATTAAGGTGCATAATAGAAACTGTAGCATAGCTGTCATAAACTATTTCTAAAGGAAAACAAATGAGTACCGCCTCCTAGGTAGGCTCTTGTGGAGATTGTCAAGTTGTATTAAAAAACTTTTATTTTCTAATCTGACCCAAAAAAGACATCCTCAGAAAGAAAATTAAAATACCATTTATTTTTAAAAATTACTCAAATGAGCTTACATAATTTAAGGTTGTAACAAACCTCAATACTAATCTAGTGTTTTTCTTTAGTGTTTTTATAATTAAAAACCTTCTCGAGAATACAATATATAAACATATAAAGCATAAAGGCTCTGACTGAAGCAAGAGTGGGGAGCTAGAGAACCTAACCATGCAAACCACGCAAACTTAACCCTAACTCAGGACTACAAGGGATATATTTGAACTAACCCAACACCCAGACAGCTTAAGTCATTTTCTGAAGTTATAGTGATATCTCAGTGGATTTTAAAATTACTTTTGTTGATGTTTATACTACTGACTCTTCAGGGAAATGGGAAATAGGATATATAGAAATAGATACAGATACAGATATATAGAGATTTATCAACTCTCCAGAGTGTATATATGTGGAAATTTAAAATACATTTTTTTCATTATGAAGTATACAAAAAACATACAATTTTCTAAAAATTGCTTTGAGAGGCAAGAATTTTAAAACTTAAGAAACATCAATTCATATAGCCACTGTTCATAAATAAACTTATTTTAATTGAGTCACATACCTTTTTCCCCAGTGCCATATCCAGTGTCAAATTAAGAAAAACCCATTGTTTGGGATTAGTAAAGTCCAAAATTTGAAACTTCTTAAGTAAGTGAATAGCTTTCTCCACTTCATAAATCTGCCTTGGGTATAAGTGCTTTAAATAGACATCATCCTCAGGTTCACCTTCCATGACTGAGTATGACTTTATTTTTTCTATCTCATCTATCTTTGCATCTGATGTTTTCTCTTTTGCACCTTTTTTGGATTTCTTTGCAGGCCTTAAAAAAAGAGAAATTCAGGATCAGTACATCAACATGTGTTCTAAGAGACTTATTTTTAAAGGCCAGTGTACAAAAGACAAAATAACAAAAGATCATTTTAATTCAAAAGTATAAACTGTTTCACAGTTTCTCTAATTCAAGTAAACTTTCACAGTATTTACAATCAGTACAAGTTGAATAAGGCACTGATGCAACTCTCCATACAGAAGAATAGAGAAGACAGACATGCAAACAGATGATTTCAATATAAGTACTGTAAAAATGTAATCAGAGCCTTACAAAAAGACACTTAACCTACAAGGTTAGGAATGAGTTCTGGAAGAGATAACCCCACTGTTCTAAGATAAGGAAATTAATGTGATACCCAAAAGAAAGATTATTTAAAAACATGTTCATGGGCCAGAGATTTACTCAGTGGTTCCACCGCCTGCCTCACAAGCACAAGGTCCTGAGTTCGATCCCTGGCACCAAAACAAACAAAATTTTTACACAAATGTTCCTAGCAACATTTTCATAATAAAAGGTAAAAAAAAAAACAACCTAAATATCCATCAACTGATGGATGCATAAAACATGGTACAGCCATATGATGGATAATTCTCAACAAAAAGGAATTAAGTACTGATACATGCTACATGTAATAAGCTTAAAAATATGCTAAGTGAAAGAAGCCAGTCACAAAAGACTACATTGTAACTTTCAAGAATGGGCAGCCAGGTGTGGTGGCACACGCCTGTAATCCCAGCACTCGGGAGGCTGAGGCAGGAGGATCAGTGTGAGTTCGAGACCAGCCTGGGCTACATAGTGAGGTCCTGGTCAGTCTCAACTACATAATGAGACCCTGTCTCAAAAAACCAAAAAAGTGGGGGCGGGGCAAATCTATAGGGTGTAAAAGTGGGTTTGAGGCAAATTAGGGCATGGCCAGCAGGCTGGGCAAATGGGTATGACCTGTCAAGCATGGAGATCGAAGATACATGCAGAACAGTTTCCAAGCACTGCACCTGGTACCAATCAGAAAGTGCTGTCTTCAATTCTTCTGGGGAAAAATCAAGCAAGTTTTTGATAAAATGGACTAGATATGACACCATAATGGAAAATAAAAAAGATGGCAACCATGAACCTTGTGGCACTGCGCTCTCTCCTCCTAAGTGGCCTGCTCTGCACTCTGAAGAGCATACTTCTTTTTCCTTAAATTTTGCTACCTTTTGCACCTCTGTCCAGTTCTTGTGTGTGTGTGTGTGTGTGTGTGTGTGTGTGTGTACATTTTAGGTGTACAATACAGTTACGTTCATCATTGGGATCTTGTACCTTTTACATGATGTATCTTGGTTCTTATTTTTTTCCCCATTTCCCTGCCCTCCCTTCACCGCCTCCAGCCTTCCCTGTTTACACAGTCTGACCAGTTCTTTGTTCAGGACCACAAGAATCTAGCTCTTGAAAGACCCCACAGCAACTCAGAACCCAGTAACAGATTTAGTGGTTGTCCAGGGCTGAGAATGGGGGAACAGAGACTGACTCCTAATGGGGATGAGGTGATTGGGGGTGGTCATTAAAATGTTCTAAATAAAACTGATTGTGGTGATGGCTGCACAGCTCCATGAATTTACTAAAAACCACAGAATTGTACATTTTAAGTGGCCAAATTGCATAGCATATAAATTATATTTTAATAAAGCTGTTTGCTATTTTTAAAAAATAGCCAGGCAAAGAAACAAAATGGTATACAACAGGAGGCATTAGAAGTTCTGTATAACTGTAGCAGTAGTTAGCAAAGTTGTTCTATAAAGAATCAAACAGCAAATGTTTTAGCTCTGCATCATGAGCTTTCTGTCTCACTGACTCAACTCCGCTGTTGTAATGCTAAAGCAGCCACAGGGAATACATAAATGAATAAGCACAGCTATGTTCCAATAAACCATTATTTATAGACAGTGAATTTGAATTTCAAAATTTTCGTGACCACAAAATATTGTTCTGTATTTGAAGCATTAAAAAATGTAAAAATCATTCTTAGCTCATAACTATATAAAAATAGGTGACGGACCAAATCTTGGCCCAGGGGTCATAATTTACTGACACTTGAACTAAAAAGGTAAAATTGAAGGCAAAAAAAAAAAAGTAGAAGATGAAAAGTGAAGTTGGAAAAGTCAGACCACAAAGGACAGACAAAGAGAAGCCAGTGAAGTGAACTGACACGTGACTCTCAAAGTATTCCGGCAGGGCAGGTGATGTATGCCTGTAATCCCAGCACCACCACCACCACCACCACCCACACTCACACTCACACACACACACACACACACACACACACACACACACACACCCGTTATTCCTGTGGTGCTGGGGAGCCAGGCAGGAGTGGCGCCACTGAACTAAATCCCTGGCCCATTTCCCTCCCTTCTTAAGGAGACAAGAGCCTGAACAAGAACAGTAATGGGAATAAGGAAAAGAATATAAGACAGAAAAATTCAAAGTAAATACTGCAGATAGGGAAAGGAGAAAGAAAAGAATGCAGTAATTTTTAGGTTTCTGGCTTCAGGCAAAGTATGCCAGAAAGAAGGAAAACAAAACAGGTTTCTGGTGACAGAGGTAGTAACAGTAGTCAGCTTAGGATACACATGAGTTTGAATATAGAATACTGGCTCCTTAAGAAGAAAGGGAGGAAATAGCCTCTTAATAGTCTCCAATCCTGCTTCCTTTATATCTATCCATCTCTTTTGTGGTACCAAGAATACTTTGATTTTTTTCTTTTCTTTTGGACAAGGTCTTGCTCTATAGTTCAAGCTGGCCTTGAACTCACTGTGTATCATTTGCCCAGTTCTTCAGTTTCTCTCTCTACTGAAGCCTACTTTGTATTTCCTCCCACTAGGGGGTGAAATATACAGAGCCTGCCCCCCTCCACAAAAAAAAGTTACGTATCAGCAAAAGAAAAACTAGTACAAATATTTTCAGACTAAATTTATTGAGACATCATGAGATTAACACAAGTTACCTTTGGCCTCTACAAGAGGTTCTCAAAGTAGTGGCCATGAGCTTCCAGACACTGTTAGTTGGCGAACAGCTGCAGTGCATACACCTTTTTTTTTGGCAGATTTTGTATTTTCTCATCCCCTTAATTTGGACATGTGACTAATTTAGGCTGACAGAACAGAGTAGAAGCAGCAGGTTCCCCATTCCAAGCTTGGATGAGAAGAACATCCTCTTCTTCCACTGCTGCCTGTATTTCTGCCACTTTCATAGGAAGAGCACAAGTTGGCTAGCCCAGAGGTAGGAGAATGAAGGACATGTGGAGCAGAGCTAAAGAGCCACAGAGTCCCAGGCTGTATTAAACAGTTCACAACTGACCTGCAAACTCACAGAAACACAGCAAGTCCAGAGCATAAGAGACTCATCTGGACCCCACCTATGTCAGCTGACCCCCAGATGTGTGGGCAACAATAAATAATAACAGGGAGGTTTGTTATGTAGTAAAAGCTAACAAGGTGCTTATAAAAACCTAAGAAATTATGTTTGAAAGGAAGTGCAGGTACAAGTTTGAACCTAAGAAAGACAGAATTAGAAGAAATAATTTTCAGTGTTAATTCAACCCCATAATCTTTTTTTTTTGCTAAACTGGATTAAACTCAGACATTCATGCATATGGGACAAATACTCTTAACATTAAGTTACATTCTTAGCCTATTTATTTTTCTTATTTTGAGACAGTCTCATTAAGTTGCCCAAAATGGCCTGAATTTAGGATCCCTCCTGCCTCAGCCTCCTAAGCAGTTGGGAAAACAGGTATGTGCCACTGCATTCAGCTAGTAAAACTGTATTCTAGAACAATATTTGTGTTCTGTGGAAGACAATTCCTCCCTCCAAGGATGTTATCTTACAAGACAAAAAGGACTTTGCAAATGTGATAAGGTTAAAAATCTCAAAATGGAGAGATTATCCTCCATTATCCACGTGTGCCCAATCTACTCACATGAATCCTTGAAAGTGAGAGCCTTTCCCCCTTCCTCAGCTGTGTTATAAAGAGGCAGAAAGATGACACTGCAGAAATTCAGCTATGAACAAGAGTAAACCCACTATTGCTTGGAGACGGAGGAAAAGTGCATAAGCCAAGGAACTTGGGGAGCTTCTCACAGCAGGGACTGACAAGGAAATGGACTGTGCCCTACATCCTGCAGAACAGAACTGCCAGGATGCTGATTTTAGACAAGGGCCAGATGTCATACCTACAGAAGTGTGAAATTATAAAAGAAAGAAAAAGTGTCATCAAAACTTCAGTTTGTGTTGTTTAAAACCTCAAAATTTGTGGAAAATCACACTGGGGTTCTATAAAATTTATTTGAAAAAAATGGATGACAGTAAAACAATTCTTTTTAAAAAGGGATCTCAGGAATGGGGTTAGAGCTCAGTGGAACAACTGCTTAGCATGCAGAAGGCTCTGGGTGGTTCAGTCCTCAG